TGATATGTATAATTATTTACAAAACAGTTAAATCAAGTTACTTTATTAGTTCGAGAATCAAACTTTATAACTTCAAACTGAGTCCTATATATAATCAATTTACAAATCAGTCATATGAAGTTAATTTATTAGAATCAAATTTTATAACTTCTAATACTATTTTAAAATTTTCTGTCAATGTATAGCAAGGAGCAAATTTATCATGTCAATTGCCCCCCCCCCCCCCCCCCCCCCCCCACCACAAAAAAAAAACCCCCCCCCCCCCCCCCCCCCCCCCCCCCCCCCCCCCCCCCCCCCCCCCCCCCCCCCCCCCCCCCCCCCCCCCCCCCCCCCCCCCCCCCCCCCCCCCCCCCCCCCCCCCCCCCCCCCCCCCCCCCCCCCCCCCCCCCCCCCCCCCCCCCCCCCCCCCCCCCCCCCCCCCCCCCCCCCCCCCCCCCCCCCCCCCCCCCCCCCCCCCCCCCCCCCCCCCCCCCCCCCCCCCCCCCCCCCCCCCCCCCCCCCCCCCCCCCCCCCCCCCCCCCCCCCCCCCCCCCCCCCCCCCCCCCCCCCCCCCCCCCCCCCCCCCCCCCCCCCCCCCCCCCCCCCCCCCCCCCCCCCCCCCCCCCCCCCCCCCCCCCCCCCCCCCCCCCCCCCCCCCCCCCCCCCCCCCCCCCCCCCCCCCCCCCCCCCCCCCCCCCCCCCCCCCCCCCCCCCCCCCCCCCCCCCCCCCCCCCCCCCCCCCCCCCCCCCCCCCCCCCCCCCCCCCCCCCCCCCCCCCCCCCCCCCCCCCCCCCCCCCCCCCCCCCCCCCCCCCCCCCCCCCCCCCCCCCCCCCCCCCCCCCCCCCCCCCCCCCCCCCCCCCCCCCCCCCCCCCCCCCCCCCCCCCCCCCCCCCCCCCCCCCCCCCCCCCCCCCCCCCCCCCCCCCCCCCCCCCCCCCCCCCCCCCCCCCCCCCCCCCCCCCCCCCCCCCCCCCCCCCCCCCCCCCCCCCCCCCCCCCCCCCCCCCCCCCCCCCCCCCCCCCCCCCCCCCCCCCCCCCCCCCCCCCCCCCCCCCCCCCCCCCCCCCCCCCCCCCCCCCCCCCCCCCCCCCCCCCCCCCCCCCCCCCCCCCCCCCCCCCCCCCCCCCCCCCCCCCCCCCCCCCCCCCCCCCCCCCCCCCCCCCCCCCCCCCCCCCCCCCCCCCCCCCCCCCCCCCCCCCCCCCCCCCCCCCCCCCCCCCCCCCCCCCCCCCCCCCCCCCCCCCCCCCCCCCCCCCCCCCCCCCCCCCCCCCCCCCCCCCCCCCCCCCCCCCCCCCCCCCCCCCCCCCCCCCCCCCCCCCCCCCCCCCCCCCCCCCCCCCCCCCCCCCCCCCCCCCCCCCCCCCCCCCCCCCCCCCCCCCCCCCCCCCCCCCCCCCCCCCCCCCCCCCCCCCCCCCCCCCCCCCCCCCCCCCCCCCCCCCCCCCCCCCCCCCCCCCCCCCCCCCCCCCCCCCCCCCCCCCCCCCCCCCCCCCCCCCCCCCCCCCCCCCCCCCCCCCCCCCCCCCCCCCCCCCCCCCCCCCCCCCCCCCCCCCCCCCCCCCCCCCCCCCCCCCCCCCCCCCCCCCCCCCCCCCCCCCCCCCCCCCCCCCCCCCCCCCCCCCCCCCCCCCCCCCCCCCCCCCCCCCCCCCCCCCCCCCCCCCCCCCCCCCCCCCCCCCCCCCCCCCCCCCCCCCCCCCCCCCCCCCCCCCCCCCCCCCCCCCCCCCCCCCCCCCCCCCCCCCCCCCCCCCCCCCCCCCCCCCCCCCCCCCCCCCCCCCCCCCCCCCCCCCCCCCCCCCCCCCCCCCCCCCCCCCCCCCCCCCCCCCCCCCCCCCCCCCCCCCCCCCCCCCCCCCCCCCCCCCCCCCCCCCCCCCCCCCCCCCCCCCCCCCCCCCCCCCCCCCCCCCCCCCCCCCCCCCCCCCCCCCCCCCCCCCCCCCCCCCCCCCCCCCCCCCCCCCCCCCCCCCCCCCCCCCCCCCCCCCCCCCCCCCCCCCCCCCCCCCCCCCCCCCCCCCCCCCCCCCCCCCCCCCCCCCCCCCCCCCCCCCCCCCCCCCCCCCCCCCCCCCCCCCCCCCCCCCCCCCCCCCCCCCCCCCCCCCCCCCCCCCCCCCCCCCCCCCCCCCCCCCCCCCCCCCCCCCCCCCCCCCCCCCCCCCCCCCCCCCCCCCCCCCCCCCCCCCCCCCCCCCCCCCCCCCCCCCCCCCCCCCCCCCCCCCCCCCCCCCCCCCCCCCCCCCCCCCCCCCCCCCCCCCCCCCCCCCCCCCCCCCCCCCCCCCCCCCCCCCCCCCCCCCCCCCCCCCCCCCCCCCCCCCCCCCCCCCCCCCCCCCCCCCCCCCCCNGTGTCGTGTCGAGTTGACCTGTTTATTTTCGTGTCGTGTTCGTGTTCATATTCGTGTTGACCTACATAAACTTTGAATAAAAAATTTAATGCTAAGATTTTATTTTCACTTAATTGAATCTCTCCTCATATTTTTTCTACAAACTAAAAATTAACTTAATAATAATAATAACAACAATAATGAGTAATAATATCTTTTTTATACAATAATTATGTCAGTGCTTGATAAACAGTTACAAATAATTAATATTTTTATTTATATAATACTAATTAAATATGTTCATCGTACATCATACAACCAAATTAAACATCAGAAGTAATAGAAAAAACAAGTCATCAAAACATAAAAACTCATACATGCAACGAAAAGGTCAAGTCAATCTCTTTTGAATTAAAAATTTCGTGTTGACGGTTCAATTCGTGTTGAACGGGTTGAACCCGAACACAACCTATTAACACTTCGTGTTGGTGGGTCGTGTCAAAAAATTAGTCAATCCAAACTCATTTATTCGTATCGTGTTTCGTATCGAATTATCGTGTGTCATATCAAAAATTGTCACCCCTAATTCAAATAAAATTGGGTTCGAGTCCTGCATATGATCACTTATATACATAATGATTAAAATTACGTTGAAAAGAGAGTAAGGAGAAGAGTTAGAAATTAAAAAGATTAATAGGAATGAATTATATAGATAGTTGAGGGCAATTGAATGAAGTTATCTGTGTTTAATATTAAAAAAAAAGGGTTATTTTAAGATGAAAAAAATAAGAATACTGTAATTATTTTATTAGTTTTTTTTACAAGAATTATTTATTGGTTTAGACACCAACTTCTCCGCTCTCTCTTTAAAACAATAATAAATACGTTCAACCAATAATTGTAGGCCATGACTTGTGAACCGTACTTAAAACGGGTCTAGAGATATAGCATACACAAAAAAAAAATAATATAACTAAATACAATATAAATTTATTATATATTTTAATAATATTATTAAAATTTAATTTATTGATTTAATTTATTATAACTATTAATTCAAAATTTTAAATTGTAATAATATTACTAAATTTAATTATCTCACGAACTTTAAAATAATGGGTCCATCCCTACTCGCGATTCCTTCTCCTAACCGTCACCGACGACGACGACTCAGCTGTCAAAGAAAGCGACTAGGCATTTCATAACTGAGTGGCAGGACCCACAGTAACGTGGCCACGTAATCCCTGACACGATCACACGTGTCCTCGAGGGCATCAGGCATGAAAGTCACACTTCCACGTGGATTTCGCCTCCTTCCAAGATGTTCCACCATGGGCCCTACTTCAGTTTGGCAGTTTTTATTGTTAAAATATTGTGTTTGACAATATTAATAAAATAGCTTGGGGCACATCAGATTTGATCAATTGTATTAAAAAAAAAACAAGACTATACCACGCGCTTATATTTAGTTTAAGATAACTCGTCCATTTTTGTATAAAAAGTCTTTTTTTCATTCTTTGATATTGATTTTTTCAGAAACAGAGAAATTTCGTGGTCTGTGCTCAACGAGTAGAAATACGTTTATGTCGCTCAAGTTTGTAACTCTGAGTAGAATCAAGAACAAAATTCAGGATATGAATCGATTCCTCAACTTATAAACAATTTAAATTGGGACTTTCGTTTCGCTGGGAACTCAAGACCCACACTAGAGACTTGAATACGGTTCGTTCAAGTAACTAAGGTTTTATCCTATCAAACAACCACGCTTTTGCGCCGAAATTACTTGACTTGTGTAAAATTCTGATCATTATAGTCAACATGAGAAACTAGAGCATAAATTAATTTAATTTGATTCTCACACAATAAAAGCAATGGGAATGATTGCAACTAGTTTTATTTTTTTTTTTCAATGTCCATGGGTCTATAGGCCNTTATATATATATATATAATGACGTTATAGGAAGCTCTGTTTGAAATCCAATGCTGAAGAGGTGTTGAAAGTAGAATGTGCGTTCAATATGGGAAATCATGTGAGGTGCATGAATAAGGAAAAAAAAAACTTTATTTGCCTTATGAATTATAATTATGATCAGACAATGAATTAGCTTACATATTTTTGTCTTTTTGATAATTTCACAAGGTAATATGAGTGTTTTTTAGGATTCTTTCTTGAATGTAGTTCTAAAACTTCTTTGAAATATGTTAATTAGAAAAATTCTCAATAGATAGAGCACGAAATCGGAGGGATCTGGAAAGGTGAAAATATAAGCTTTTAAATTTCTTTATTTCTGTTAAAAATAATTTTCTATTTGAGAGGAGCAGTAGATTTTAACAACTTTGTCGTAACCATTCAAGAACTGTACAATAGTTATCAGATGGATGCCTGATATGCATTACTATCTTCTATTAATTGAAGTTTCTAATATGGATTCTGTTGCATTTTTTCACTTGTGTGCTGTGATCTTGAATCTTCCTCTCCCTTCACTTACACCTTGTTGTGATCATTTGTTTACAGGAATACCGTGTTTGATGAACTGATCTCTGACCAGAAGCCACAAAAAGACTAGGAAAAGGTGGTTTTTCATAGACCAGAGGGTTGGCTAATAAATCATCTGAGATTGAGCTTTCAAACCAATTGCTTTCTATTTGCTTGAAACAAACACTCAAACAGTATTGGTCAAAAAACTTTGATATCCAAATCTGGATTCGATGGACTTGAAATCAAATCATAGTTCTCCCGTTCTAACTGATCCTGCACCCCTGAACAAATCAAGATTTGGCATCCATTCTTCAGTGCTGCCATACTCGACCACTGTCGCAGCCTTTTCTCCTGCCCTCTTCCTGACAATCCCAAGGAAGAAGCCTGGACTACTTGATGATGTTCGGTCCAGCTCTTGGTTGGATGCCATGAAATCCTCATCTCCTACTCATAAGAAGATAATTAAAGATCCCAGTACTGAGCCAGCAAATGATAATGAATTTTCTTATCGCAGTTGGATGGTATTTTTTCCCGTTTTCCCTTAGTTTAGTCAACTTTCAGCTTGGGTGTTATCTTTGATGAAACATCAGAATTTTGCTAATCTCTTCTTCCGGTTCTGCAGCTTAAGTATCCATCAGCACTTACATCGTTTGAGCAAATAACAAACTATGCAAAAGGCAAGAGAATAGCATTGTTTCTGGATTATGATGGGACTCTGTCCCCAATTGTAGACAACCCAGACCGTGCCTTCATGTCTCATGCTGTAAGACACTGCCTTCTCCTTGTATTTAGTATGGAAATGACTTAATCATACGAAAATTTCACTTTTACCCCTTCCTCTAATTCTTTTCCATACTTCATGACTTGTTCTCAGATGCGTGCTGCTGTTAGAAATGTGGCAAAATATTTCCCTACAGCAATAATTAGTGGGAGAAGCCGTGATAAGGTAGGCGACAGGTTTCTTTGGTATTTTTCTATTTGATTTGCATTCAGTTTTTTTCCTAAATATATTTTCCTCACTCGGGGTCATGCTGCCACTCATTCAGGTCTATGAGTTTGTTGGACTAGCAGAGCTCTATTATGCTGGTAGTCATGGGATGGACATCATGGGCCCTGTTCGGCCCTTTGCTAAGAGTCGTACAAACTGTATTAGCTCTACTGACAAGCCGGTAATGATCCTAAGAAACCTTTCCTTCCTGCAGTGTTTGAACTCCTCTTGCCCCTTTCTGTGCTCATGAAATCTCGCTTATAATTTAATCTGCTATGAGTGTAGGGTAAGGAAGTTAATTTGTTCCAGCCCGCTAGTGAATTCTTGCCTATGATCGATGAGGTGTGTAAATGTCTGGTCAAATCAACAATCATGATATGGTACATCGATGTTTCAGTGACAACTTTCCATTCTGGATAATAAAAACACAGTTTTATCCTTGTTTGGGCAGGTTTTTAGATCCCTTGTCGAGATCACTAAGGAAATTAAAGGGGCACAAGTTGAGAACAATAAGTTTTGTGTCTCCGTACACTACCGCAATGTGGATGAAAAGGTAGAGATTTTTCTGAGTGTCACAAACGAATCTGTGATTTTTAGAGACGAGTTGTTTAGCTAATACAGGACTTGCTTTTATTTTTGCTTGGCTAAATTTTTACAGAGTTGGACGACACTTGCACAATCCGTCCACGAATTCTTGAAGAACTATCCACGTCTGCGATTGACACACGGGAGGAAGGTTTGTCTTTAAGCCATTTGCACACTTTATATTTTCAGTTACATGGTTATCAACCCCAGGTAGTATTGTTTGCCTCAGGTCTAATTAATTGCTGTGATCTCTCTATGATTAGGTTTTAGAGGTACGGCCTGTGCTGAATTGGGATAAGGGCAAAGCTGTTGAGTTTGTACTAGAATCACTTGGTGAGTGAATCCTGGTTTCTTTGCACATAAACATATGCTGATTTGGTTATTACAACATATTATCTGAGGCAAAGTAACAACCCGTATGACAGAAATAATAATGATTATGGTGTAGGGTTAAGCAATTGTGACGATGTGCTCCCCATATATATTGGAGATGATCGGACTGATGAAGATGCCTTTAAGGTAATAATGCCACTTGAACATATGAGTAGCACTCAAACTGCTTGATGAGGACCTAGTTTTTATGAGTATTGAAACATATGATCAATAAGCTTGTTTGTGTTACCGACAGGTTTTGAGAGGGGGTAATAGAGGTTATGGCATCTTGGTGTCTTCTATGCCAAAGGAAAGCAATGCGTTTTACTCTCTCAGGGATCCATCAGAGGTATGAATTATACTCGGTGTAGTCAAATATTGGGTTCTGTTTCAGATCAAGACATTTTGTGCTCTTACTGAATAATTAACTGCGTCATATTCTTTTTTGTTCCCTGAATAGTGGTTAAACTACCTCACTGAGGTTGATGATTGTTTGTTACAAGGTTTATGCACTTCAAACACTGGTTTCCTTAAATAGAAATGATTCTGGAAAAAATTATCAGAATGTGTACCGATTTTAACATGTAACTAGAATGTCGTGCATGCACAATTTTGGGTCAGGAAATTGTGCAGGGGGAGAGAGAGAGATGCTAATGTCGTAGATATTTCATATCGAGCAATCCTATTGGAACTAATTTGGGAACCTAATGTACTATGACTAATGGATTAGCAGTGAGTCTCAACATTGAATGAAGTCCACTACCAATTAATTCAATGACCATGATACATTAAGTCCCCAAATTAAACATAACATAACAACATCGATTGGTAATTGGTATTTGTTTGGCTTCCCATACTTGAGGGGTGGTGAATCAGAGCTAGGACTGCCCTTACTCAGACCTTAACTTAAGGAGCTAAAGTGGCAGAAGGGGGAAGGGGAGGGATTTTACTCGTGCAAACAAACTGTTTTAATATGTTTTCCCAATCCTAGGGAAGGAAATCACAATCCCAGGGAATGAAATAAGACAGGACTCATCAACTCATGAACTCAATAACTCAATTCCAGGAAAGGAAATAGTACAAGACTCCTCAACTTGGCAGCACTGTTATTCTTTTTATTCTTCTTCTGAGAAAAATAGAAACCTCTATGTTTATGTTTGCATTTTTCTTTATTGTGTTTGCCATCCATTGAAAAATCATCTCCATTTTATTTTTGTATGTGCAGGTCATGGATTTTCTTAAGTCATTGGTAACATGGAAGAAGTCAAGTGCACTATAAACATGATTTAAAGAAGAGTATACTCTGGTACATATGACATTGGAAAGTTTTATATGTCCTTTAATAAGATTTATAAAGTCTCCATGAAGTTTCCGGAGCGAGAGGTGCATAAAAGAGCTTCTGGAGTATTTGACAGGAGTTGTAAATTCTTTCTGCTCGGATACTTTTCTTTGTACATCATTTTCTTCCTCTATTGGCAACAAGGACGCTCACATTCATACCTGAGACCAGTAATCATGTGTTCTTTCCTCCCCAGTTTTGATTATTAGATCTACCTATGGGGTTGTGCACAAAAATATATTCATTGATTAATTTGGTACCCGGAAATCAATTTTTCTCGTGGTGTCCACCTTTTTTTCTTCTTTTGCTGTGATTATGTGGTGTCAATTATTGTTTACTACGTGCACCGGGTGCTTATTTTAGTTTAGTCATTAGTTCTGTCAACTGTAGCAAACTAGTTATTCAAATGTTCAAGGGCATGGCTGCTGTTTTTCATGTATATTATGTGATTTGATCATCTGTTAAGTCAATCTTGAAAGATTGTTTGGTGCTTTAGGTTAAATATTTGTGAAGGAAATTTGCCACGGGATGTAGGGAAGATAGTTGATCCTCTATTCCTCTCCTATCTTATGAATACAAGACACCCCCATCCACTGCAAATTAGACCTTATTTGACCGTGGACAGCTATAGGCGGGCCACATATCTGCTTGTAACAATTTCAGCCTCAAGTAACATAGTCCAAAACAAGCAAAGCTGTGGGTGTCAGATAGATTGGCCTAATTAATTTTTATTCACATTTATAATATCTAATCACATCCTATACAACTGTAATCACAATCGTACTCCGCAGAGTCTTAATCACATATCACTAATTATGTCCCAAGTACACTCCCCATACATGTATCAATCAATCCCAAAGTATTTAACTCAAAATATAAGTTAACCAATAAAAATATCAGAATTTTGTATCAATTAGAATAATCAATGAAAATACAAATTTCAGATAATCAAAGGATATTTTTTGTAAAGAGATTTAAAAGACATGAGAATATTGTATACTACCCCGTACGTCAAAATCATTAATAATTTCAATAGATAAAAAATTTGAAGTACTTCGAACAAATTTATTATTTAATTTTTTACCCCAAAATCTCAAATTTCTCTCTCTTCTTTTTTCCTCTTTTGATGTGTTGTTCGAATGGCCACTACTAGACTATTTATAGCCAAAGTTTTTGGCCAAAGTCACATGTCAATTGGATTAAATCATCTCTTTTAAGCCACCGAACCTGCATCACATGACAATTGTCCATATTTCCTTCATATATTTTTTTTTAATAGAACACATGTCTATTTTTTCCTCTCACACACTTGCCACCATTTATGTACATGGATATTTTTTTTTCTTTCTTTGACACTTATATATCTAAAATATACTTACATATATTATATGTAACGGACGTATTACTCATATATTATATCATTTTAAAAATATGACATTTTATTTTAACACGAAAAATGACCTATATTATAGTCATTCGACTCGTTTTCATATAAATAATTTATATTTGAGGTTTATTTGTTGTTCATTTAAAATTTCTAAAAATGATCATTAATTATATAAAATTATAATTAATGACTTAAATTACATGTTAGCGATTAATTTTAATACAAGTTGTCACAATCTACTCACCTTAAAAAGAATTTCGTCATCGAAATTCATACTCCTTAAACTAATTAATTCCGCTGTGCACTCTAGTACTATTTTCAACGATTTACTATATAACTCAAAGTTTTGATACAAATTTTAACTCGTGCACTTGTCCAATGTAAACTAGTTAATTCACTCCCCATAATTACGCATATAAGATCTAAAGTGTATATTTTAATACTTCAAACTATTATACCTACAACGAAAATTGATAGTCTCACTTCCTACAATGCCTATATAAGTTTCGATACCTAGTTTTGATACCACTTTGTAACGTCCCGTTTTCGGGACGCGTTATTTGATTAAATTAATTTGATCACAATAAACCACAAATATCTCCGAATATAGGGATAGAGCTCTAATTGCCTCAATAAATTTATAATCACAATTTTGATCTCCAAATACCAATAAAAGTTAAAAATTATATCAAGATTCGCTCACCTTCAATTTCTCAATTATCAACTTTGGTCAATCCCTCCATGATTGTCCTGAAAAAAATATTAAAAACGGAGAAGTATACAATATGACAGGAAACAATATGCTCAACGAGAAAAATATGAATGATCAAATACCAAATAATTCAGATGATAAGAATCATAGATAACGAAATCAAGAATTACATTCGACAAGCTACATAGCACAACTGCTATCAAATATAGCTTCATACTCAGTTTCTCTTGAATATATAAATTCATATTTATAATATCTAATTACATCCCGTAGGATTGTAATCACAATTGCACCCCGCAGGGACCCTAATTACATTTCACCAATTATGCTCTAAATACATTTTGTATATTTACCAATCAATCCAAAGTATTTAGCCCAAAAAATAAGTTAACCAATAAAAATATTAGAATTTCGTTTCAATCAGAATAATCAATAAGAATACAAATTTTAGATAATCAAAAGACACTCTTTGCAAAGAGATTTAAATGACATGAGAATATTATATACTACTCCGTACATCAAAATTATTAATAATTTTAATAGATAAAAAATTCAAAATACCCTAAACAAGACACTTTAATTTGGTAATGATCGAAAGAAAAATGCACTATTTAATTTTTGATCCCAAAATTTCATAAATTTCTCTTTCTATTCCTTCCTCATTCTTCTTTTCCCCCTTTTTTCGCGTTGTTCGAATGGCCACTACTAGGCTATTTATAGCCACAGTTTTTGGCCAAAGTCACGTGTCAATTGGCTTAAATCATCTTGCTTAAGTCACCTAACTTGCATCATATGGACAATTGTCCATATTTCCTTCATACAATTTTTTTTTTTGCATAGAACACATGTCTATTTTTTTCTCTAACACGTCTATTCTTTGATACATGTATATCTAAACTATGCTGACATATATTTTATGTAACAGACGTATTATTTATATATTATATCATTTTAATAATATGACATTTTATTTTAACACAAAATATGACATATATTAATTTCATTCGACTCGTTTTCATGTAAAGAAATTATATTTGAGATTTATTTGTTCATTTGAAATTTCTAAAAATGATCATTAATAATATAAAATTATAATTAACGATTCAAATTACATGTTAACGATTAATTTTAATACGGGTTGTCACAATCTACTGCCTTTAAAAAGAATTTCACTCTCGAAATTCATACTCCTTAAACTAATTGATTCCACTATGCACTTTAATACCATTTTCAACAATTTACTATATAACTCAAAGTTTTGATACCAATTCCAACTCATGCACTTGTGCAATGTAAGCCAGTTAATTCGCTCCCCATAATAATGTATATAAGATTTGAAGTCTATACTCTAATACTCAAAACTATTATAATTGCAACAAAAGTTAATGGTCTCACTTCTCACAATGCCCATATAAGATCTAATACCTAGGTTCTGATACCACTTTGTAATGCCTTTTTTTTTCGGGACGCATTACTTGATTAAATCAATTGATCACAATAAACCACAAATATCTCCGAATACATGGACAGA